GTGTGTGTGTGTGTGTGTGTGTGTGTGTGTCTGCATGCATGCCTCTGTGTGTGTGTATACTGTGGAAAATTACTTGCAAACCATTATTTTGAAAAGGTCTCTGTTTTCCCACAGTCATAATTGGCTAATTCTGTAGACTTTCATAAGTGTCTTAAGCGAATCTCTCATTTTCCCATCCTTTCCCTATTTTTATTCCCACAGAGGAAGAGGTGATCAGAATGAATGGGCATATTTCAAACACCCATCCCAACGTATACGGAAATTATCCTTCTCAAGTCAAGTAAGTGTTGGATCCCTTCTGTCCTGCATTTTGCAAAAATAAAATGGTGGGGGGCAGAGGTGGGTTGCTGCCGGTTCGGCCCGGTTCAGCCAAACCGGTAGTGGAAGTCAGGCCTGGGTCACAGAATGGGCAGCGACCCAGGCCTCCTACGCCCCCTGAACCAGTTCCCAGTTGGGCCACCGCCATTTTGGATTTCAGTGACTGCGCGTGTGCAGTTCACTGTAAATTGAACAATTTATATTGAACGGTGCACGTGAGCGCAGTGCGTGTCTGGTGCGCAGGTTGCGAACCAGTAGTAAAACTGGCAGCAACCCACCTGGGGCAAGGGGGAGAGGAAACACTTCTTTATTCTTAATTTTTAAAAAAATACATCCCACAAAGACTTGATTTTTGAAGTGAAGCAAGAAAATTCTCTCTTCAGCCAAGGCTCCATGAAGCCTTGGCTGAAGAGAGAATGCTGTTGACTCCTTTCAATTTGGGATTGGCCCATCCCACTCATGCCAGCAGAGGGGGCATGATCATTCTGACCAACAGAGTCCAGGAGAAGGGCCTTCTCTGCTGTTGCAGTGCCCTATGGAACATCTTGCCCCCCGCCCCCCAATGTCAGAAGCCGGCCCCAACCCTCCTGACCTTTCTTAAGAGCCTAAAGATCTGGCTCTGCCAGTTGGCTTAGGGGCACAGCCCCCAAACATTTGGGCACCAGGGACCGGTTCTGTGGAGAAAGGTTTTTAAGCAGACTGGAAGGGGTGTGGTTCCACATGCTATAAGCATGTTGCTTGTATCTTTCAATTTCTATTGTTTTTATTTGTTTCCTAGTACAATTTGATAGCTTATTAGTAACCTTGGCTATCACTAAGTGTTGTGTCTTTTTATTCTTGATGAATGTATTTTATTCTCCTTACGTACACTGAGAGCATATGCACCAAAGACACTTGGCTATCTATCTATCTATCTATCTATCTATCTATCTATCTATCTATCTATCTATCTATC